CAATAGATGCAAAGAAAGCATTTGACAAGATCCAGCACCCCTTTATGATGAAAACCCTAGCCAAAATGGGTATAGAGGGGACTTTCCTCAACATAGTTAAAGCCATCTATCACAAGCCTACAGCAAGCATCGTCCTCAATGGGGAAAAACTGAGAGCCTTCCCTCTAAGATCAGGGACGAGACAAGGATGCCCACTCTCTCCACTGCTGTTCAATATAGCACTGGAAGTACTTGCAATAGCAATTAGGCAAGAAAAAATATTAAGGGCATTCAGATAGGAAAAGAAGAAATCAAGCTCTCACTATTCACAGATGATATGATACTACACTTAGAGAACCCTATAACCTCCACCAAGAAACTCCTAGAAGCAATAGACTTGTATAGTAAAGTTGCAGGCTATAAAATCAATACCCAAAGTCCATGGCTTTCCTATACGCAAACAGTGAGAGAGAAGAAACCTATATGAAAAAATCAATCCCGTTCACAATTGTGCCCGAGAAAATCAAGTACCTAGGAATCAGCTTAACTAAGGAAGTAAAGGATCTGTATAAAGAAAACTACAAAATGCTACTTCAGGAAATAAAAGAGGACACGAGGAAATGGAAAGATATCCCCAGCTCATGGGTCGGGAGAGTTAACATTGTGAAAATGGCAATACTTCCCAAAGCATTGTACAAATTCAATGCAATCCCTATAAGGATACCCATGACATTCTTCAAAGAAATGGAGCAAACACTCCTGAAATTCATATGGAACAATAAGCCCCCACGAATAGCTAAAGCAATTCTTGGGTAAAACAAAATGGGAGGAATCAACCTCCCTAACTTCAAACTCTACTACAAAGCAGTAATAATTAAAACAGCATGGTACTGGAACAAAGGCAGAGCTGCAGACCAATGGAACAGGGTCAAATACACTGACATCTCCCCTCAATCATATGATAATCTAATCTTTGATAAAGGTGCAAGAAATGTGAAGTGGAGTAAGGAAAGCCTCGTTAACAAATTGTGCTGGCAAAACTGGATGACTACATGCAAAAAATGGGCTCAGAACTCTGCCTAACACCATGTAAAAAAGTAAGATCAAAATGGATTAAAGACCTCAACATCAGACCGGAAACCATAAGGCACATTGAAGACAAAGTTGGCAAAACCCTCCATGAAATTGAGGCTAATGGTATCTTCAAAGATGTCACACCACTGGCTGAGCAAGTGAAAACAGAGATAGATAAATGGGACTATCTTAAACTAAGAAGCTTCTGCACCTCAAAAGAAACAGTGACCAAAATACAAAGACAATCTACAGAATGGGAAAGGATATTCGCCGAATACACATCTGACAAGGGGTTGATATCAAGGATATACAAATTACTGGTTAAACTCCACAAGAAGAAAACATCTAACCCCATCAAAAAATGGGGCAATGAAATGAACAGAAACTTTCTCAAAGAAGAAATCAGAATGGCAAAAAAGCACATGAGAAAATGCTCTACATCATTAATCATCAGGGAGATGCAGATCAAAACCACAATGAGATACCATCTCACACCTCAGAGACTGGCCCACATTCAAAAGAACAAAAGCAACCGATGCTGGCGCAGATGTGGTGAGAAAGGGACACTCCTTCACTGTTGGTGGGAATACCGACTGGTTCAGCCCTTTTGGAAAACAGTATGGACGATTCTCAAAAAATTAGAAATTGAGCTCCCATTTGATCCAGCAATACCACTCCTGGGAATATAACCCAGAGAGGCAAAAATGTATAGTCGAAGTGACATCTGCACTTGTTTGTTCATTGCAGCACTCTTTACAATAGCCAGAATCTGGAAAAAACCTGAGTGCCCAAGGACAGATGACTGGTTAAAGAAACTTTGGTACATCTACACAATGGAGTACTATGTAGCTGTTAGAAAAGATAAAGTCATGAAATTTACATACAAGTGGTACTACATGGAAAGTATCATCCTAAGTGAAATGAGTCAGAAAGAGAGGGATAGACATAAAAAGATTGTATTCATCTGGGGGACATAAAGTAACAAAATAGGAGATTAATACCCAAGAATAGCCGAGATCAGTATCAGGAGGATTACTCCATGGCTTAGATGCCAGCCACACATGCTAGGGGAAAGGGCAGCTCAGACAGAGAAGGGAGCACCAAATAAAGGGTGTCTGGAGGATCCTCCCAGGATGGGAGATGCATGTTGAAAGTAGACTATAGAACGAACATGATTGCCACTCAATGCCTCTTTTGCAGACCACAACACCCAAAAGGAGAGACAGAGAACAAAAGGGAATGCCCCGCCACAGAGGCAGGGTAGTATGGGGTGGATGGGTGTGGGAGGGATACTGGGATCCATGGTGGTGGAAAATAGGCACTGGTGGAGGGATGGGTATTTGATCATTTTATAATCGAAACCCAAGCACAAAAATTTGTAAGTCTACAACTGTACCTCATGTTGTTTCACTAATAAAAATTAATTAAAAAAAAGAGAGGGTAGCTAATTGCCCACATGTATTTCACTTCTCTAATCCTTATAAATATGCAATCTTGGTAAGTTGTCATTTCATGCAAAAGTTAAAAATCAAAATACATACAATAGTGAAAATATAAAATCTCAGGAGACTACTGGGAATTACCATTTGAAGAAGAGTTTATAAATTTAAATATAGAAGCAAATTTAAATGTCTGTGATTATTTTATTAATCATATATACTTTAGTTATTTCATTAACACTAACCAAATTCATATATATTTTTATACAAAGGTTTTTGTATTTGCACAGTACCTAGTGTATATGTATACATTTCCTATAGTGCTCAGGGGATGATGTATCACCCAGAATCAAACCTAGGCCTCCTATATCTAAGGACGCACTCCAAACCATTGAGATAACTCTCTGACCCACACTTTTAACTCCTTGAATATATTTAAGGATCTATTCCAGGGACTTTTCAACTGTGAGGAACTGCAGACTCCATCAAACTGATATGTCAAAAATGTGACGATAAAAACATACAAAAAACATACAATATAATTTCTATACAACAATAATTCCATTAAAAACTTTTTGGTTTTTAATGATACCAAGTATCATTACACTGATACCAGATAAATTAAGTCTAAAATAAATGTACAAGTCATAACAGACTATGCAGCTGTTAGGAAAAACGTCACTGTCACTGTCATTGTCCTCCCGTTGTTCAATGATTTTCTCGAGCAGAAAAATGAAGCCATAAAATTTGCTTATACATGGATGGATATGGAAAGTATCATGCTAAGTGAAATGAGTCAGAGAAAGAGAGACAAACATACAATGAGACAAACATAGAATGATTGCACCCATATGCAGGATATGTAAATATATATAATGTGAATAATAGCCAGAGACAGTAGATGCCAGGAGGACTGGTCCATGATAGGAAGCTTGCCACAAAAGGGGAGGGGGAGTGTAGTTAGGACAGAGAAGGGAACACTATGACAGTGATAGCTGGAAATGATGAGTCTGGACAAAAACTGAGTGCTGAACAAAAACTGAGTGCTGAAAGGAGGTGAAGTGATACGCATGATATCCTTTCAGTAATAGTACTGCAAACCACAGTGCTGTAAAGAAGACACAGAGAGAGAGAGAGAGTAAGAGAAAGAGAGAGAGAGAGAAAAAGAGAGATAGAGAAAGAGAGAGGTGTCTGCCACAGAGTCGGGCTGCGGGCATGGGCAGGGTAAGGTGGGTGGAAGGGAAACTGGGGACATTGGTGACAGGAGATGTGCTCTGGTGAAGGAATGGTTGTTGGAACATTACATAACTGAAGTTCAACCATAAACAACTCTGTACTTTGTAAATCACTTAGAAATTCAACTGTATTTTTAAAAAATTTTAAGTGAACTTGTTTTAAAAAGTAAACTAAGACATTTTAATTCTACAAAACAGGGAAAAACTTTAAAATTAAATTAACATTATCTTTATCTGTCTTGAATTTATGACCCCCAAATGCTTTATACTCTCTTCATAGAACTTAATGCAGATGGATATACCATAGGTAAAGTATGCATTAGACACTAACTTGTATTTGGAAAGAAATAATGAAAAAAAAAACAAAGGTTATTCCAGTTAGCCAAAATAGAACAAAGTTTCCATTTTTCTTATTATTCACTTATTAAATTATTTCACTTTCACTTTTAAAATACTGTTGAGAGGCAAATAAAAACACATATTTAAATCATTCAAAGATATTTCTAGTTAATGTTTGAATCTTAATTTGGTTTTCTTAAACTAGAAAAAGACACAAATATGTATTGGATTATCATCAAGTAATACTTTATATGAGATATAAACTATTCAAGGTATTATAGAAAATTTGCATCTTTATTCTTATATTTCTCAGTTTAAATGCTCTAAATAAAATAAATATTTAAGTAAACTGGTCATCTTCCTTGATTATTCAGATAGGTAAGGATAATTAATGTTATAATCATCTCCAACCTAGATTGACGGCTAGTTTATTTTTTTAAAATTCATTCTGTGGGTTGGAGTGAGAGTACAATGGGTAGGGCACTTGCCTTGCACATTTCAAACTGGATTTGATCCCTCATACCATATCTAGTCACCCAAGCACTGCCAGGAATGATCCCCGAGCACAGAGTTAGGAGTAAGTCCTGAGCACCACCAGTGGCCGCCAAACAAAAAAGTTCATTCTGATACTCTAAATATTTTCTTTTACTGTGTATCTTGTTCAACCAACAAATCATATCTTTATAATGAATTTTCCTAATAAAGAGCGTAGTAAAGAAAAGATAGTTATTAAATTCTAAGTCAACTCTAAATCTTGTCTTCTGTTTGACTCATTTAATGTAAACAATAACAGTATATAATATATTCTTCTCAGTAATGAATAATAAATTACTATTTCAGTCCCTCTATATTCATTTTCTAAAAAAAGCTTAAGATAAATAATATATATTTACATCAAACACAACAAAGGAAAAATACTTGCAACAAACCATACCTAGTAATAAGAACCGCATTATCGTGGTGGGCAATCCCATTTTCTGGAATGGTGTTTCCATCACTTTGGTGAGAGAGAATGGACTTCTGCCATTTACAGAAGCTATCGAGGGACTTGTCTGCATGGTGGTTTATCTCCAAGTTTGGCTGCAATACAACATGCATACCAGGAATGTTCCAAACAAATTACTAAGGTCAGTTGTTAAAACTTTTGAAGACTAGAGTGGAACTATAATTGGAATCAGTGATTTCTAGGAAAAAAAACTCTTGCCAATTTTTAACTATGTAATGTCTGACCTAGAGTTAGTTTAGTTTATTAATTTACAGTCTTACCAACTCTAATTCTAGTTAATATGAATATATGTGATCATCAGCATATAAAACCAACCAAAATCAGGTCTTCCATGCAAATACACATTTTTATACTGAAACATATAGCTAATATCCATAGCAGCTTTAAAATGATATGAAGTATACTTTAATAAACTATTTAAAATTTGTCTAAAAATTAAAGGTTAGAACCAAAATTGTATTCAACTACAACTTCTGTTAAAAGCCAGTATTAAAATATATTACAGTACATAATTCTAAAGACTGTGAAGAGACTTAGATTTTATAAACTGATTCTTACCTGGTCTTCCGTGAGAACAATTAAGCGGGCCACTATAATATTCACAACGTTTCCTAGACTGGAATCACGGTAAAGTTTGGCAACCTGACCTCCAGAAAATAAGAAAAGATACAAAGTCAGACAAAAATCATAGCTTGATTATTTGCTATAATTTTTAAGAGGGTAAAACAATTTTCATGAATTCAATCACTGTGTATATGAAAAGGTACTTTTAAATCCCAAATCCTTTATAAATCTACCCTCAAGATGTTTCAGTGAAAAGTTTACATCTACCTTAAAAAATACTTTCTCCTACAGATCAACTAAAAACAGAAATTCAGAGGGTGAGTTAAAATCTATTAAGAAAATAATTTAAACAAGATTTAACATGACCCATTTTAAAAGATCATATAATCTGAAGATGAACTGTAAGGTTAATTTTAAATTTATTTTGTTTATGGAGCTGAAATATTAATATAGATAAAATTAATAGATCAAATCTTTCTCATTTTAAATGACTAAGACTTTTTTTGCTTTTGGCCCATTTGTGTTGCCAGGGATGGAACACAGAGCCACACATTCACAAGACTTGTAAGTTGCCACTAGGCCACATTACCAGCCCTAGATGAGTAAATCGTTTTAGTTATTACTGCGCAACAAAAATCCATGACCTTTATTTAAAAAAAAAACTACCAAATAAGAATATTATATAGAGAGATCAAACTTACAATATTCATCACACTCAAAATGTAATGTTCAATGTCTTTGCGGCCATGGTAGCCCACCATCATTTTGTCTGCCACTACTAATGTCTCCACAAACCGCTCAATGCTTACTGATCTCTTCTGTCTGTTGTAGATATGTGTGCCATTAATTGGAAATGAAGAATGAAAAGAAGATGTGCCATTCAGCCACCAAGATTTGCCACTTCTTATGAGGTCTGCAATAAAAGCAATCAAGCATTTGAGGGAGATTTTTTCTTAATTTGGAAAATAAAGGTTTTTAATCTTTTGAAATAATTTTACTATCTAAATAAAATAAACGTCAATACCATTCATCTAATCATGCAAATAAAATTAAGGCTACCAATTACTTAATTAAAAGCAATGTTCAATGACCACTTCATATCATTCCAATAGGTCTTAATAAGAAAAACTCAATTAATTTATATATTATGTTTGACTCAAACAGAAATACCCTCAACTTTGGTAACTTCTTTAGTCTTGTTCTTTGAAAACTTACATTGGGTGCCAGAGAGATAGTATAGTTTGTATGGTGTGTGAGCAGTTGACTTGGGTTGGATTCCAGGAGCCCCACCCAAAGGCAGGTGGAACACCTCATTTTGAGATGCAAATCCCGATTTCTTTAGAGATGCAGTAAGTAAGGTACCACACAAATGCAGGAACTACCATCCTGAGAAGGCTGGACCTCCTCAGAAAAGAGGAAACTAGAAGGGTCTAAAGGTCATGGTAAGAATATGAGGAGACAGGCTCAAGAGTTAGTACAGTACAGTCCCCAGAAGTCTCTCTGGTCCCCTGAGGGCAGAGCCAGGAATGAGCCCTGAGACCTCTGAGTGTGGCCAAAAAATCCAGATATAAATATAAAAATTACATTGGTAGAAATGAGAAATTTTAAGAAATAAAAGAGGGAAATGACTATAAGAGTCATTGGCCTGGGGAAAAAAAAAGAAAAGAATCATTGGCCATGGGGCCGGAGGCATAATACAGGTGATAGAGTGAGACTGACTGACCCATATTCTATCCCCCAACATCCCATATGGTCCCCCAGCTACCCACTACCAGGGGCAATTTCTGAGCATCACCAGGTGTGGCCCAAAAACAAACAAAATAGGAATCATTGGCCAAATGCTGCTGGCAGATAGGTAGGGGACCCAGGTAATGAGCTTTTGGAAAAATAATAAAATTAAAATTTTTTAAAAAATTGCTCACCTCTGAGCAGTCCAAAGGCAGGTGGAACACCTCATTTTGAGATGCAAATCCCGATTTCTTTGGAGATGCAGTAACTAAGGTACCACACAAATGCAGGAACTACCATCCTGAAAAGGCTGGACCTCCTCAGAAAAGAGGAAACTAGAAGGGTCTAAAGGTCATGGTAAGAATATGAGGAGACAGGCTCAAGAGTTAGTACAGGGGCTGGAGCAATAGCATAATGGGTAGGGCGTTTGCCTTGCACACAGCCAACCCAGGTTCGATTCCCAGCATCCTGTATGGTCCCCTGAGCACCGCCAGGGGTAATTCCTGAGTGCAGAGCCAGGAGTAACCCCTGTGTATTGCCAAGTGTGACCCAAAAGGAAAAAAAAAAAGAGTTAGTACAGCGCATCTGCCTTACACTTGAGCTGACCTGGGTTGGATTCAAAAACAGAAGCTTGGTTTTCGAGTTACCTGTAGCTGCTTAGCAAACCGCTCCCCAAACTTAGTGATTTACAACTTAGTATTGGGTTTCAAGAACTGGAGCAGTTTAGGCTCTTGTCTTGTACACAGCTGAGTCAGGTTAAATCAATGACATACTCATAGGGTCCCCATGTCTCGCCAAGAGTGATCCCTGAGTACAGTAAGAAGTAAGCCCTGAGCACTACCTGAGGTGGCCAAAATCCAAAAATGAAAAAAGAAGAATGTGGAAGGACCATCAAGAATCCAAGGTTTTCTCTGTGATGATGCCCAGATTAACTTTCATGTATGCAGAGAACTCCAAACCAAGACCATTTGGAGAAATCATATATAAAGACTTTCTATTTTTCCCTCTCTGGAGAACCGAAAGTTCTTTATTGAGCACTATTTCTTCCTCTCTCCTCACATTTCTTTAAATTTCTTTCAACGAAAACAATTTTCTTTACAAAAAACAATTATTGTTCAAATCTTTTTAAATTCGTATAACAAGGGCTGGAGCAATAGCACAGTGGGTAGGGCACTTGCCTTGCATGCAACCGACGCAGGTTTGATTCCCAGCACCCCATATGGTCCCCTGAGCACCAACAGGAGTAATTTCTGAGTGCAGAGCCAGGAGTAACCCCTGTGCATCACCAAAAAGCAAGGTGTGACCCAAAAAGCAAAAAAAAAAGAAAAAGAAAAAAAATTAAATTCTTATAACATAAGGGGCTTGAGCAATAGTACAGCGGGTCAGGAATTTGTCTTGCACGTGGCCGACCTGGGTTCAATTCCCAGCATCCCATTTGGTCCCCTGAGCACCGCCAGGGGTAATTCCTGAGTATATAGCCAGGAGTAACCCCTGTGCATCTCCAGGTGTGACCCAAAATGCAAAAAAACAAAATTCTTATAACTTAAATTACTATCTATTCTTTTGGGAGGGCACATCTGGTAGTGCTGAGAGGCCACCCCCCACCCCAAAGGCCACCCCCTCCCGCATGATCAGGAGTGACTCTTGGCAGTGTTCTGGGGCCCATACGCCTTATGCAGGACTGGGGATCTGAGACAGAGTCTGAGGAATGCAAGGAAAAGGCCGTAACCCCTGTACTGTCATCTTTCTGGCACAAAGTGTCTTCATTCTTCAGAGTCAAGAGAGGTGGAGACAGTTCACTTATTAATTGAAGAGAAAGTTGCCCTCTCTTAGGGGCTTCCTTACCTTGAATGCTAGATCCGTCCTCACCACCAGGTACTACCACAGCATCTAACCTATCAAGGCACTTGTCTGCTCTCTTATAGCTCTTCAAGCCTTAGTCAAATTTCTAGATTCCCTCACTAGCATAAATACAACATGTTAGTGAAAGTACCTAGAATATTATGAAATATCTCTGCCTGAAAGTTGAAACGAGGTTTTTTGTATGAAAATAAAAGATGAGTTTTTCCTTCCAAATGAGCAAACAAAAACAACTTCAAATTTTTCACAAACATATTTTAAGAACTTCTAAAAATAACTTCCAAAACTGACTTCCCTATGAGTTGTGCCAAGTTCTTTTTTTTTTTTTTGCTTTTTGGGTCACACCTGGTGATGCTCAGGGGTCACTCCTGGCTCTGCACTCAGGAGTCATTCCTGGCGGTGCTCAAGGGACCATATGGAATGCTGGGAATTGAACCCGGGTCGGCCGCGTGCAAGGCAAATGCCCTACCGGCTGTGCTATCGCTCCAGCCCCGAGTTGTGCCAATTTCTAAGAAGATTCTGAGCATTGTCACTTTCACCCTCAAATTTCAGTTTCCTTTTCCTTTTTTTGTTTTTGTGCTTGGACCATACCTAGTGGTGCTCAGGGCTTTTTCTCATGGCTCTGTACTCAGGAATCACTCCTGGTAGTACCTGGGGAACCAAATGCACTGCTAGAGACTGAGCAAGCGTCTTGTCCACTGCACCATCTTTCTAGCCCCACTGTTGACCTTTTAAAATAACCTGCACGAGGGAGGGAAAAAAATAACCTGCAGAAAGGAAAAGAGCAGCAATGCTACACATTTTCTAAAAGCCACACATGGCTCACCTGAAACCCCACAATGAGAGTGATCGAAGAGATGCCGCTGCTGAAGGGTAGATTTTTTGTAAATAACATGAGGATGACCATTTTCATAATTGAAATATTTAGAATCCTCCGTGGTATTCTTTAATGGTTCAATAAAATACTCTTCATCTTCTGTAGCAATAACACCATGCTACAAGAAAAAGAGTTCAGAAGAATCATGATAAACACTTTCTCATTATCACCAAAAGTAAAAGATAAAATGATAACCCACTTTTAAAAAAGGAAAAAGGAGGGGCTGGAGAGATGGTCCATCATGTAGGGTGCTTGCCTTGCACGTGGCAAATCCTGTCACCCATATGGTTCCATCCCCTGCACCCTATATGGTTCCCTGAGCTTTAGCCAGAACAGATTCTGAGTAAGCCCTTAGAACTGCCAGATGTGACCAAAGAAAAAAAAGCTCCAATACTACATTTAAGTAGAAATGTAGCAAATTTTCTGTTTCCAGTAAAGCACATAAACGTTACTATTCTTTAGAAGGATGTTGAAATACCTCTTCAAGATATCCACTGTACTAAGCAAGACACCCACATGGATGGGCCCCAACTTTCCCAACAACTGGCAGCAGAGATCTGTACATCTTCACTGAGACCTATGTCCTTTCCAGTGCACAACTTAACTACATCTTCAAGAAAATGGGCACAAATTACTACTTCCATGTCAACTCCTGAAAGCCTCCTTAGTAAAACTCTTTGCTCTTTTCCCATTGCAACTGAATGGAGCAGACCCCAAAACTTAGGGAAGATGAATGCCAAAAGAAACGAGGATCCCCTGGGTGGCCATTTATAAAACCATCAATGTAGACATTGATGTAAAGGAAAAACAAATTTCTACTGTGATAAATGTTTTACCACTTTAAAGATTGCACTGTTTAACATATTTTTAACCGACATACATACAATACATCCTATTTCATTTTGTATATGAAGTAACATGTCCAGAAGTTAAGAATTTGTCCAGTATTGGGACCAGGGTGATAGTACAGCAGGTAAAGCACTTGCCCTGCATGTAGCTGACCCAGGATTGATCCCTGACATTCCTATGGTCCATAAGTCCACCAGGAGTCATCCCTGAGCACAGAACCAGGAGTTAGTCCTGAGCAGGTGTGCTCCCCCCAAAATAAACAAACAAAATAAAAGAATTTGCTCAATATCATATACATGTGAAGAAACTACAATTCAAACAAAACCCTGTGCTTGGTCACGGTATTAGATGACTTTTCACCTATATACTTGGCCAAGCCCTACTTAGCTTACCCATAGCTTTTCTTAAAAACTTCCTTTGTTCCCCCTAAAATAGCTTCACTCTTCTCTGAGATCCAGAGTTAATTATTGGTATCATTCATTTTTAAATTAAGTCCACATTGCTTTGCAAATATCTCAAATCTTGAAGCCATATATAAATTTGGTATAATTTTTCAGCTGCATGTTTCATCTTCTGAAGGACAATGTTTACTTTCTGAATGCAAAGGGTTAGTCTCATATTTCTTTTCATCGGGATCATAGCAGTATCTCATATATATATAGTATGCACAACAAATAAAGATCTGCTTATTAAAGATATAAGATAGTAAAAGCTATGTGCATTAGATATAAAACTTTCATTCTTGTCTAACAATGTGTTTTTCTAAGAGTGGCCCATTTGGGGACTGCTCTTAATCCAACTAATTTATCCTGTAACACTGGATAAAACACAAACTCTCTGGTTGCATTTCCTCAGCTGGAAAAATGAAAGGGTTGGTGTAAATGAGTGGTTTTGAAACAGCACTTTGGGGAACCTCTGGGTTCCACAGAAGGACCCTCAGGGATAGCCCAGACAACAAAGAGAGACCCTATCTGGCTGGATTTCTACGTTAAGGGAGTTAGCTGTGCTTTTATTATACTTTACTATATATTGTGTCCAAATAACACTTTGTTTGAGAAAAGTTTTGCCACTTTAAAAAAGAGGGGAAATAAACTAAAAGCCTCTGGCCCAGATAGTCTCTAAGATCCCTTTGAATCTAAATCTCTATGAATCTGTTTAGGAAAATTCGTGTTAAATACCACATGCTTGGAGAAAAGATAAGACATAATTAGAGCTGCTCTAATTTAGGGATGCTCTAATTTAGGCAGTCACCTGCATGAAATGAGCTAAGATACGCAAATAGGAAAAATAAAAACCGAAATAGCAGCCCTTAGCCACTTCATTTATTTTCACCATTGTTTGGCTTACTTTAAAGATAAGAGTCCCTAAATTAAATATACTTGCTGAGAGGAATAACACAATCTTTCATGAAACAAATTAATACTTATGCATGAATTACTTTACCAAGATTCAACAATGTGGTAGCAAATTTAAATGGTTCCTATGGAAAAGAGGGTACATATAAGAAGTTTTCCTTAAAAAAAGTTTAGAAAATGGGGTCCTAGAATATTGCCAAAAAAAGTTAAAACACCAAAGTCCTAACTGTTGATGAAAGGATATTGGGAGGTGCCAGACAAGAAACTCAGGTTGTTTTGAGTAAATAGAGACAGAATTCTGTTACATACATAAAATATTTCATTCCAAAAATGGGAAGACTGGGGAAAAGTAATCAGGGGCTGGAGCGATAGCACAGCGGGTAGGGCGTTCGCCTTACACGCGGCCAACATGGCCGACCCGAGTTCGATTCCTCCGCCCCTCTCGGAGAGCCCGGCAAGCTACCGAGAGTATTCGATATGCCAGACACAGTAACAAGGAAGTCTCCAATGGAGACGTTACTGGGCCCGCTCGAGCAAATCGACGATCAACGGGAGGGCCTTTTTTTTTTTTTGACTCTATTACAATGTTTACACACTCTATCTCATTTAATAGCAATGATTCTTTGGAGCAAGTGCTAATAGTTCCACTTTTCATGAAAGAGATTGAAACAGACCAAAGTTAAATAACAAGCTTGTTCCATTGGTCTTCAATTCTGAAACATTGTATTATAATATCCCTATCCTCTGAGTTGTATTATAATAACCCTATCCTCTGGGCTGGAGTGATAGCACAGCGGTAGGGCGTTTGCCTTGCACGCAGCCAACATGGCCGACCCGAGTTCGATTCCTCCACCCCTCTCGGAGAGCCCGGCAAGCTACCGAGAGTATTCGATATGCCAAACACAGTAACAACAAAGTCTCCAATGGAGACGTTACTGGGCCCGCTCGAGCAAATCGATGAACAACGGGAGGACCGTGACCATGACCGTGAGATCCTCTGGGTGTTGGTTATGATTTGATAAGTCATTCACCAAGTATGTTTAGAGAGCCAAACACAAAATTCTGTCTCCATATGGAGTTTATATTCTGGAGAAAAGAGCTGGGGGAAAAGGAATTAATTAGAATAGTAAATGAAGTTCAGGTTGATAATTGTTAAAGTGAGGAACAAAGCAATACAAGAGGACAGAGGGTAATCAGAAGTGAGGGAACTCCATAAAATCCTTAGGGTGGCTAGGATGTCCTTTCCAATAAAGTGATAAATATATAGAAACCTGAATAAAGTACAGGGCGAGCCAGACATCTTGGATGCTGACCAAAGACAGGATGGCAAATAAAAAGTCAACAGGGAAAGAAGGTGTTCACGGGTTTGTGGAATACCAAGAAGCTACTAGGGGTGGAAGGGGAGAAGTAATGATGAAATCAGAATAGTGCTGGAGAGACGGTGTTAGAGTGGAGCAGTAGGACACTTGCCTTACATGCAACCAACCTAGGTTTGATCTCTGGCATCCCATATGGTCCCCCAAGCCTGACCAAGAATGATCCCTAACCCACAGAGCTAGAAGTAAGCCCTGAGCACTGCTGGATGTGACCCAAAAAAAAAACAAAGAATATAAGAAAGGTGCTGGAATCGGTGCTGGCGCAGATGTGGAGAGAAAGGGACCCTCCTACACCACTAGTGGGAATGCCGATTGTCCAGCCCTTTTGGAAAACAGTATGGACGATTCCATAAAAAATTAGAAAATGAGCTCGCATTTGACCCAGCAATACCACTCCTGGGAATATATCCTGGAAAGGCAAAAAAGTGCAGTCAAAATGACATCTGCACTTCTACATTCATTGCTGCACTGTTCACAATAGCCAAAATCTGGAAAAAACCCAAGTGCCCGAGAACAGATGACTGGTTAAAGAAACTTTGGTACATGCACACAATGGAATACTATGCAGCTGTTAGAAAAGATGAAGTCATAAAAATTGCATACAAGTGGTTCTACGTGAAAAATATCATGCTAAGTGAAATGAGTCAGAAGGAGAGGGACAGACATAGAAAGACTGCACTCATCTGGGGAATATGAGGTAACAGAATGGAAGACGAACACCCAAGAATAGTTTGGATAAATACCAGGAGGTCTGCTCCGCAGCTTGGAAGCCGGGAGCCCATGCTGGGGAAAAAGGCAGCTCAGATAGAGGAGGAAACACCAAATAAAGGGAGTTTGGAGGATTCGCTCAGGATAGGAGGTGCATGCTGAGAGTAGACTAAGGACCAAACACAATGGCCACTCAATACCTCTATTGCAAACCACAACACCCTAAGGGAAGGAGAGAGCAAAAGGGAATGCCCTGCCACAGAGGCGTGATGGGGTGGGGGGGATGGGATGGGGGGTGGGAGGGTTACTGGGATCATTGGTGGTGGAGAATGAGCACTGTGGAGGGACGGGTTCTCTCACTGTATAACTGAAACCTAAGCACGGAATGTTTGTAAGTTTACATCTGTACCTCATGGTAATAAAAATTAAATTAAAAACAAAGAAGAAGAAAGGTGCTGGAGGTACAACTGGAGGTCAGGTAATCAGGACCTGAGTTGGTGAATGTCCCAGAAATCTACGTGGCTACAAGAGCTATTCTCTCACATCATTCAGCATCTCCACTCATCTCTACAGTGTTTACCTCAGGACCACCAAGATTAATAACATGTCCCCTTTTTCCCGTCCTGTCTGTCCCTGCACGTCCCACCTCTTAAATTCATTTCCCCACGTGATGGTGCACATCATGTTTTCTGATCCCAGCTTCTGCACTCCCGCCCCTTACCCCCACCTTCGCTGTGTTAAACATTTCTGCTGTGCCCGCTCAAACTCAAGCTGGGTTACCAACAAAATCTCTTAGATCTTCAGCCTCATCCATGAATGGCCACTTCATC